GGGAGGGAGGAGTTATGGAGCTTGGCCCTATAGAACAATTGAAACCACAAGAATTCAGGAGGAAGAGGAGGGAATAGCCAGAGGCCAGCAGAGACCTTGGAGACTACCTTATCACATTCCTCATAGTATATAGATAAACCAAGGCTCAAAGAAGTAAAGGTACTGGGCCAAGTTCACATACACTAGTGCCAAGGACCCTTAGTTTTGCTCTGGTTATGCCACTCTGCTGCCACCTTTGGCACCCAGGCTGCCAACCAGGCTCTAGGCTTGGATCTGCTGCTGCCCAACTCAATTCCTAGAGGAAAATCCCTGATGACCTTTGACTACCTGGCACATGTGAACCACCAGAAGAGGACAACACTCAGCTCAGTGCCACACCCCTCACTGAGGCATGCAGGCACGCCTGTGCGTAGTCCCCACCTCTCCTGGAAGATAAGAGGTGTCCTTCTCCCAGAGGCATAACCTTAGAGTAACCTGCTCAATGTCTCCTAGCCCATCAGACTGAGGCAGGGACTGGCACGTGCTAGGAGGTGAGGGACATCCCATGCCCTTAAGCAGCTATCTGGACAGACAAGAGGAAGCTGGATTCCAGGATGAGCAATGTCACAAGGCAGCACATGAACAAGAGCCGAGTGAGCAGTGAGGCTGGTCTGCCTGGTAACCGGGCAAGCCCATCATATAGTATCTGTGGCCCTAAGTGGTCTCATCTGCAAATGGGATGGTAAGCTGGTGAGCTGGCATCCTGAACCATTTTGGGTCACACATCCCTTTGACAATCTCATGAAAGCTACTCGTCTTTTCTATAGACTAAAATGTGCACATGGATCTCACATGCAGTTATAGGGGTTAATAGGGCCCTGGAGTCAAAGGTCTTTAGACTTAGAACCTCTGCACTGAGACAGAGCCAGCTGTAGGGCCCCTTCTGGTACAAAAAACAGACGACAGTGCCTGTGGGGCACTTGGTGGACCAGAGGGATTTTGGATAGGCGGTGGTGGTGGGGGTCAAAGGTATCGTGGGAGGAAAAGGAGATGTGGAACAAGAATAATTGATGATACTTTTTGAAGGCTGAGGTGAGGTGTGAAGATGAGATGGAACGGGGAAGTCAAAGCTCTTCTGTCTGCCTCATGCCACCCCTTCCGTGAAGCCTTCTACCTTACTTCCTCCTCACTGCCTTTTCTGTATTCCTAGCTCAGCTTGCTTCATTCTGCCTGGCAGATAGCTTAAATGTGCATGCAGAGAGGGCGGTGACAATGTCTCAGCACCGAAGGTCAAGCCCCAGCTTGCCACTCTCTAGCGGTATGCTGTTACTCATTTCCGAATCTCCCACGCATCACCTTGAACGTGGTGGAAAGATACCTGGTGAACAATCACAAAAATCTCTATTTTGTGGGCACATTTTCAGCATGTTCAATATTGTGAAATTATAGAGCTAACAAAACAATCTGATAGTGACCTTGGTATTTGCTGTGATGGGATCTGAAACCATTTCCAAGCCCTGAATATGCACAGACACAACAGCTCTTAGGTATTAAGTGGAACGAGCTGGTCAAGTTGATGTTGCCATGGAAACCCAGCCAGGCTGGGAAGAGCAACTTTTGGGCTTGAGAATCTTTGTTCCATGTCCCTGAACACTAAGTTTGGCGCTGCCTGGTTGCTGTCTCTGGCTCAGTTAACCACCCCCGACACACAGAGCCCCACTCCTCATTCAGCTTGCTCTGGCTGTGAGAGGTGCCAGGTCAGTGAGGCACCCCCTTACCAGGTTCAAGACACAGAGATCTAGCTAACTAGGCTGGGGCACAGGAAACACACAATAGGAAGAGGAAACAGAAAATCTCCACCCTTTTCCAGGCTGCAGTGGCAGCAAGAAGCTCCCTTCCTCAGCACTTGAAGTTGCGGAAGCTGCTGTAGAAGGGCAGCTGATTCCCTATCAATAACACCTCCCTCTCTTGCCCCCACCCCCCTCCAAAACCAAAAAATTCTACGTCAGCAATTCCCACAGAAACAATGGGATTCTATTGTGTGCAAGGACTCTAGAAGCCTCTAGATGGCGCCAAATCAAGACAAATGCTGACAGGAATCCCCCCAGCTCCCAGCAAGCTGGGTACCAGCCTACACCTCCTCTTCCTAACTTCCACCCAGAGACAAGACCAGGTAGAAAGAAAGCTGGCTCCAGTGGAGGTTTCCTACGTGTTTCATATTTGGGCCACCCTGGAGTCTGCTGGAGAAGGGATTGCTGGGAGGACCTCCATCAGGACAGCAGGATCAGAGAAGCCAGCACCTGTCCCCACCCCCTAACTTATCTGGAGAAACCCTGACTCCTGTCCTGAAAAGGGAGATGGGAAAAAAGGCCAGGTTAGCCTATGGCAGCCCCAGAACTATATGTTTCTGCCTCATCGCTGGTGGGCTTGGATAGGATTAGGAGCTATAAGCAATTTTAATCCATCAAGACCATGGGGGTAAATATGGTGAAGGCAGCACCCAGGTTGTGGAAACAAACATCATGGGAAATGCACCCAGCATCAGTCAGGTCCTAATAGGAGCACCTTCACAGCTTCTGCCAGCACCTCTAGTCCCTGAAGCCACTAAGAGTCTGTGACCCAGAACTTAAAGCCCTGCTGATCTGTGACCTCCCTCAAATTTCTGCCCACATCATCAGCCTTACAAGTGAACCATGCTTGCTTAAAACTCCCTCTTTTGAGTTGGGCAGTGACAAGATGAGACTAATGTCCTGGGGTCTGAGGAACATGGCACCCCTTGGCCACTGGCAAAGACACTCCCTTTCTGCTGCAGAGCAATGGCTGCTTCTGGGGATTTTGGTCTACCAGAAGTGCAAAGAAGGTAGAAAGTGCCACATGTGGGTAAGCTCCAAAGGTGAGGTCCCTTCTGCAGCACTACACAAAGTCCAGGAAAGGCTGCCCAGTGGGAAGGCTCCCTCCCAACTGGATGGACAAATGACTCCTGAGACAGGCAGGCCAGGGCAGGAACAGCTGGCGAGGCAGGCAGACGGCATGCAAAGGTGACCCTTAAAATCAGAGGTGCTAACATGCTGCAGGCCCAAGTGATCACCTGGTAAGGCCATTGGCACTGCTCCTTTCCCTCCAGAGGCTGGCTGCCTGGCCCCAGACTATGTTACTTTCCTTGTATGAGAGATGGGAGGAGAGGGGTGAGCGAGAGGTAGGGAAAAGCAAGTAACACCTACCTCTCAACAGGGCCTGTTGTAGCGCTGCCGCTAGACCTTTCCTGATCTCATTTCATAAACAGGAGTGGGGACAGTAACATAGGAAACAAAGGTGAGAGAACATAACACTATGCACAAGCAAAGGAGCAGGGATTCGACCTGCGTTTGACATCCAAACTAGGCTCTTAACTCATGAACTTGGGGGGACCCTCAGAGCAGCAACTCTACAAAGGCATAGGCCTCATTTGCAAGTTCCTTTGGTGTCGTCTTGTTAGTTCCCTTTCCTATGTCCTTTAAATCTCAGCTCCAAGAGCCATAGTGCTCACCCCCAAGGGCAGGACTCATTCTTATGGTGCTGCACCCTCTTCCCTCTCTCTCCATGTGCCCATGAGCAGGCTGGGTTGCCAGTACTCACTGTGTGCCTCCACCAGATCAATCTGCATGTTGTATGGGACCAGGGGGTCAGGCAGCTCTGAGAAAAAGCTCTTCATGGCACCAGCCACAGTGTTCACTGTAAAGTCTTTCTCTGCCAAGTCCAAGTTGTGGTCTGAAAGGAAGTTGGGAGAGTGAAGCCACGTTGATCTAAGCTGGGCAGAAGCAAAAGGAAAACCCAGTGCTTGGGGGAAGTCAGAGACCTCGAGGACCCTGGGATGCTGCCCAGGGCTGGCCTGAAGCCTGGCAGGGCCTTGGGATTATCATAGACTGGACAGGAGCATCCCTGGTGCTGCTAAAAAAAGGTTCTCAGATTCACAGACACAGGCTGATGGCCAATGCCTCCTTCCAAGGTCACCCTGTGGCAGAGCCATCTGGTTAGCTCCCCATGTCTGCTTGGATGTGTTGCTCCCTTTTCCTGACCACCCCTCCTCCCCCCAGAAGAAAGGAATGGGGCTTTCCTAAAAGGCAGACTCACTTTCACGGTGGGTTACAAATATATTACCAACAATCTTGACCAATGTCACCCCAATAAATTCAATTAAAAAGACAAAAAACCACAAACAATCCTGACTGCTGCCCCCATCCTTGTCCCTTACGATGGCAGGACAGACAGGCTTGTTTTTCCCCTCTGGCATGAGACTACTGACCTCTGTCTCCAATTTTTCTTTTCAGACTTTACTGCACTCCTGATTTGTAAGAAACTGTCTACTGATAGTATTAGCTGTTCCCATTTGGGGGTACAAGCTGTGTTAGATTCTTGCACACACAGTACAGTGCATACCCAAGTGTGTGGCTACACCCTCATTTTGACCTCCTGCTTTCTATCCCGCAAGATTAACAGGTGTTCCCCTTCTCTCGTGTGTCACCTCCTCCCACTGCCCACTAGCAGAGACTGACTGCAGTGTTGCAAAGTGCTATGGCCCCTGGTGCCTGGGCAGGGTGCCTGCTCCTGCTGTGCACTGGCAGCTGCTCTGTCATGCAGGCCCGCACGCGCTGCTTGGCTTCTGAGCCTGCCTTGGTCTCCTCAGGCTCAGCCATTTGTTGAGTCTAACCTTACTTTGATCCTTACCTTACCTTCCTCTCTGGCCAGTGACATCTGAGAACTTTGATTGCTTTGGCTCATGTGCTTCTGGCACTGGTGGGTGAGGCCTCTTGTCCCACAGTTCTAAGAGGTACAGTCTGGCCGATGGTTGGGGTGAAATAGATTTGGCCTCTTAGGAGACAGGTGTCCCTGCCAAGAGCGAGTCTAACTCATGAGAGTTCAGCTTTGGAAGTCCCAAGGCTCAACCAATCACAAAATGCTCCCTTGCTTTCTTCTCCTGTGCAGGGACTTTGTGAGAAGGCACTCCTGGGGTCCTGGCAAAATAGGATTTTTTTCTCAACCCAACCTTTATATCACATGCAAGTAATTACACCTGCATGGCCCAGTCACAGGAAAGCAAGGCCTTCAGTGGCGAATGAGGCATGTGCCAGGGTGACCCAGAACAGAGTCTGTGGGAGGTGATAGGCTGACATAGGCTTGGCAGGGTGATATTTCCGTTTGCTGACGGGGCCTGTTCCCCTCTCCTCTGTGCAGTGTGACCATGAAGGCAACGCGAACTGGGGCCAAACGCTTTCTCTTTCTCAGTCACCAACCGGCACCTCTTGCTTTGGGGCTGTGTGTGGCAGGAGCACCTCCAGGGCTAAATGCAGCTCCCTCAAGGGGCTCCACTGGCAGTTCGGCTATCTCAGTCACCTTGACTGGTGGGCTATGGCCTTACCTTGATCAAACTGTCTCTGCAGACTCTCCATCTCTGACTTGTTCCCGCTGACCCGGTAGATGCCTTCAGTGCTCAGTCCTGAGGAGAAGCAAGATGGTGTCTTAAGAGCAGGCAGTGGAGAGCAGGGGATGAGGGGGACAGACTCCAGGAGAGAGGGCGGGAGCCACGAGGCACCCTCTGTGGCGCTTTCTTAGATGCTTCAACCTACTTCCCCCATATTCTTTTTCACTTAAAAATGTAAAACACTTGATTTTGTAAAAAATAAAATAAAGAAATACATCAGCCAAAGATAACTTTGTCCAGTTTAATGTATACTCTTGAATTTTTTTTAAACAAAATGGAGATAATACTGTTTTAACTCACCCTTTTCACTTACAAGTATGTTGTGAACTTACTCTAATCATTAAATATTCTTATTTTCTTACAACATGATTTTAAAGATATCAAAGGATATAATAACTTTAAAAATAGTCCTATTGTTAATCATTTAGGTTTTACCAAGTTTTCACTGTTAGAAATAACCGACAATTATGTTTTTTTTTGGATCGCTAGTTTAACAGGTTCTTGGCCGTGTGTATCTCTTACTATGTGAATTTCCTATTCATATTCTTGCTCATTTTCCTCTAAGAGCAGTTCTTATTCTGTACTTGAAAGAGGTCTTAGAATATTAAGCAGTTGCCTGTGTTATTGTTATAAACACTTACATTTCCCCCTTTTTGTTATCTGTCTTCTACTTTTGTATATTAAAGTTTTTGAAGTACATATTTCAAAACTTTTAGGTTTTCAAGACCAGTCATTTTCTTATGATGTCTTCCTTCGTTTTTATGCTTAGAATGAATTTTCGTATTCTTAGGTCAAATAGTTTCTATTTCTTCCTCCTTTTACACCTTTAAAAAAAAATTATTTTACTTTTTTAATATGTCTTTATTGATTTCAGAGAGAGGAAAGGAAAGGGAGAGCGAGAGATAGAAACATCAATGATGAGAGTGTCACTGATTGGCTGCCTCCTGCATGCCCCCTGATGTGCCCTGACCGGAAATTGAACTTCAATCTCCTGGATCATAGGTCGATGCTCAACTGCTGAGCC